GGTGACAAAAGTTATAGTGGATCACACCAGCCGATGACCACCACACTGTGACCATAAACCTTTTTTTTCGTGAGGATTCGGCTTAAATTGCCTCGGTGGTTCGTCGGCATCCAACCTTTGTCTGGACGCCTCCTGTTATCATACATGATCCACTTTTCATCACAGGCGACAATTCGATCCAAAAACGAGTCGTTTCTGTTACGCAAAAGCATGAAGAAGGAACCTCGAGACATGCCAATTTCTGCCGGTCACTCAAATTGTGGGGCACCCACTTGTGGAGGTTTTTTCACCTTCCCAATCCGTCTCAGACCACCCGCAACATGGATTTGCCAACGCCTAGCTTTTCTGCAATCTCTCGAACTGTTTGGGATGGGTCAGCCTCCACAAACGCCTTCAAATCCTCGTCAGGTATTGCTTTAGGTCGACCGCTACGAGGTTCATCTTCAAGGCTGAAATCTCCAGAACGAAATTTGTCGAACCATTGTCGCACGGTGCTTTCTCCAACACTATTGGGCCCCCACACCTGGTTAATTTGTCGAGCTGTCTCGACTGCGGATTGACCCAATTTGTAGTTGAAGAAAAATATCGTCCGAAGTTGCTCTTTTGACATGCTTCAAAAGTCTTGGGAAAAGGGGGTTTATCAAGCAATGGTGAAACGGCAATTATACCATCAGATAGCGCAAAAAATTCTCTTCAGGATGTACTACTGAGACGCAAGGGAGAATGAGTTTTTAATCAGCAATGAATGTACCAAAAGTAGTCGCACAAAACGCTGAGAACTTCCTGGACAACCTAGTAAAATTGCCGTTTCACCACTGCTTAATAAACCCCCTTTCTCCCAAGACTTTTTGAAGCATGTCAAAAGAGCAACTTCGGACGATATTTTTCTTCAACTACAAATTGGGTCAATCCGCAGTCGAGACAGCTCGACAAATTAACCAGGTGTGGGGCCAATAGTGTTGGAGAAAGCACCGTGCGACAATGGTTCGACAAATTTCGTTATGGAGATTTCAGCCTTGGAGATAAACCTCGTCGCGGTCGACTTTATGCAATACCTGACGAGGATTTGAAGATGTTTGTGGAGGCTGACCCATCCCAAACAGTTCGAGAGATTGCAGAAAAGCTAGGCGTTGGCAAATCCACTGTTGCGGATGGTCTGAAACGCATTGGGAAGGTGAAAAAACTCGACAAGTGGGTGCCCCACAATTTGAGTGACCGGCAGAAATTGGCACGTCTCGAGGTTCCTTCATGCTTTTGCGTAACAGAAACGACTCTTTGCACCGATTTGTCACCTGTGATGAAAAGTGGATCATGTATGATAACAGGAGGCGTTCCGGACAAAGGTTGGATGCCGACGAACCACCGAGGCAATTTCCAAAGCCGAATCCTCACGAAAAAAGATTATGGTCACAGTGTGGTGGTCATCGGCTGGTGTGATCCACTATAACTTTTTGTCACCAGGCCAAACCATCACAGCAGAGTCCTACTGTGAAGAAATCGACGAAATGTACCGAAAATTGCGTCAGCTGCAGCCAGCACTTGTCAACAGGAAGAGTCCAATTCTTTGCATGACAACCAGGGCACATCGTTGGTTGGGGAATCCCCAACAGGGGGGTCGTATTTGGCCGCCAGGAGAGGGGGGGGGTCGTAATGAGTGCGGTAGCCAGTAACGAGCAGCGCAAAGGTGTCAGTGTGCTGAGTCCTGTACAGCGAAACTTGCTTTTTAGAGAACTCGGATATGTAAAAAAAATAGTACAAAACTTTCATTCATCAAACTAATCCGAAATAACTGGAAATATTAATAAGTCGACATCATCTCGTAAGTGAAACAGTACAACTCATACTCTGGTTCGCTGCGGATGATGGGGCGTGTCCGCGATCGCGCTTGGCGCTGAGCCAACCTGTTTTTTTCGACAAACGACAGGACTACCATATCGTTCGTATCAGACGTTTTCCAGCAGTTGGTCTCCTTATCGGAATCAGCAACTGGCGGATCTGGCGGCGTCGACAGGGACACGCTCCATCATACGCAACGGAAAACACTGTAAACAAGTGCACAGGTTCGCCATGGACCTCCCTGAATCCTACAGACACATTTGCTCGCGTGGACAGACAAGTTGCACCATCCCATCACCTCTGCGCGGACCTTATGCGCGGACGCATCCAAAGTTAGCATGATTGGCGCTAAAACCACATCCTGCTCCTGCTCCACCACAGGATACGTTCTACATGTTTCTGGTTATTCGAACACGCTCGCTTGAAACAGAAAACGGACTTTCGAACAGTTCGGAGTGTTCCCTAAAAATTCCCCAACGCAATTATCTCATGAGTTCCGGAAGCTTCAGAAACGTTCAAGCTTTTTGGAGATAGAAAATCTTCTAGAATTCGACACTGGTTTTGAGTTTCCAAACTATTGAGGTTCAAGGGAAATATCTTGGTTCAAACCTGTACAGTTTGCACTGCAAACTATCCAAAAAGTGCACTCCCAATAAATCCCTAACGCAAATTTTTCTATGAATTTAGCGACCTTCATAAACATGTTAGTATAGATCGGGAAGCTCAAATCTCTCTCTATACGACTGCCTTTCTCTCTTTTCCACGGGTTCGCTGTTAAGGAAGTTATGGCTCTTTAAAGACACCTCTACTTTCCTGAAAATCCGCGCTCCAATCAAACCACCTGCAACCACCTTGCGGATGTGGGTCCTGCCCAGAATCCCTTCCAATCGATTCCTCACCATTTTCCAGCTGATCGGCTGGTATAGCTCCATTTCTTTTCTTTTTTCTGTTATGCTGTCTGTTTTTCTGTTATGTTATGCTATTTCTGCTTTCGGTTGCGTTATGTTATGCTACATCATTTAGGCCGCGTTCATAGCTTGCGACGGTGAAGAAATGCAGAAATGCGGAAAATGCAGAAATGGCGAATTGCTGAAAAATTGGAAAAATTGTAATGCTTTTCGTCATTTCTGCATTTTCCGCATTTCTGCATTTCTTCAAATTGATGTGTATATTACGCCTTCCATCATTTCCTCGGATTCCGCATTGCTTCATGGCCTTAGGCTTTGTAGGGGGGATCAGCACATTCGCTACTTCACATCCTGGTATTCATTGCGTCACAAAAGTTGACAGGTATTCCTCCAAACTTTGAGTGGAATCACTTTATGCCTTTACAACCTAGAGCCGCCATATAGCTCTAGTGCCTAGCTCGAGCAAATAAACAGTGAGAAAAAAAAGGGAGGGGGAGGGTCGTACGGGCTCGACTGAAATCCCCAACTAATGCTGTGCCCTGATGACCACGCCCGCCCACACGTCGCAAATCACTATCCATAAATTGAACGAATTGGGGGTTGAAGTTCTACCTCACCCGCCATATTCTCCAGACCTTTCACCAACCGACTATCACCTTTTCAAACATTTTCAGAACTTCCTTGCTGGAAAATACTTCATCAATCAGGACCAGGCAAAAAAGCCTTCGTGGATTTCGTGGATTCTCGACCACCCAGTTTTTTTTGATGGGATTTGTCGACTGGTGTCACATTGGCAAAAGTGTGCTGATTCGAACGGTGCTTATTTCGATTAAATCCGATGAGTATTAAGAAAGTTATGATCGTTTAAAGTGAAACACTCAAAACGCTGAGAACTTTCCGGACAACCTAATATTTTGGTCGTTGAAGCTGCATTTACGAGGACGAGGAAATCCCCGACGACAGGAAAGGCTGGAAAATCAAATTTTGCGCTTCCCTGACTTCCAGCCGCTAGACCTCTGCACTTCTGCAATTGCTAGGCAACCGAAGCGCTGAACATACGTCGTATAGCATTATGGTCATTATGCAGCGATTGATATCTAGGAACAATATGCGATATAGTTACTTGAAAGTAGTGTGAAATTCGGGGCAAGACTTCCGGAACAATGCAATAGAATACCGCAAGGAACAGCAAAAAAAATATCAGTATACGAGCGACGTGGTATAACAAGATAAATACCTTCCGCAGATTATACATTTTTCGGTATGACACTGATCCACCACCGTTAGCCAACCCATTTTGTGAACTTCGGTCAAACTCGCGTAATTCGACACCTATAACGAACATGCTTAGGTAAAACAAAATAAAATGATGAATGCCTGAATACCCTCGATGAGGATGTTACATTGAACAACGCCTCCACCTCATTATCGTTTCCACGAGGCATCATACCTGACGAAATACGATATCTAAAATAGCTAATAAGGGAAAAAGAAGATGCTCATGTATTAAAAGAGAAGGACTAACGTTATCAAAGGTGGGATTTCCAACCGCAGCCAGTTCTGCACGATCACCAGATTCGTTCTACCCAAGCCTTTTAGAGGGCGAAACACTGAAACAATTCTCAAACTTCTGCAACTCAAGACCACAGGAAAAGCGACCAAACCTTTCCAGTCACTATCTGACATGATGGAAATGCTAGAAAATGCGTAGAATATGAATCTAAACCCCACATCTATTCAGACTTGAAACCATTCCCAACTCTACAAGAATTCCCATTCTGAGTATTCCGTAACATAGCAGCGCCGCTGCTCGCTTTCTTGCGGCTTTTCTATCTGATCAAATGTCATTTCTGAGACTCCACATTTTCGGATGATGGCGAAAAGAATTGTTGTTGCAAGGAAGGACTGTGGATAGTGAAAGCGTCAATTGTCAAGCCGCGAGATTTGGGATGAAGTCTTTTATCCGTCAAAAATTTTTATCAGAGGCATAGAACCGAAAGGAATGCCAGATATCCTTCAATGCTCCCCGACCAAGATAAGACTCTACCTTGTTCTGCTTAAAGATGGAACTCTTTAAAAACATAGTGCATTAATGGGAATATTCAGGTGTGTAAAGGCGTCCAGGCCCATTCACCGGTGGAAAATGAGAAAGGAACCTTCTGACAAGAAACCATTCCAAAAAGAGTTGTTTCGTTTAAAAAATGCATCCACACTGAACTGACGACATTTGTTCAAACTGAGGAAAGGAAATTCATGTTGGCAAAGACAGACAAACAGCGAGATCGAGAGGCAAACATTCCAGTTTTGCTCGAACTAATTCGGCTACATCCCTTAATGAAGACTATTCGGTTTGGTTTTGTGCTGTGTCAAAAACGGTACCTTGCCATGCCTCTATGTAGGATAGACGCTGACTTTTTCAAAAACGCATTCTGCGTCTGCATGTGTGGGTAGTGGGATTCGAATATGATTTCATAGGTGCTTACTGATTCTCTAGTAAAGAAAATGCGATAAAACGAACAGAGACGTCATTAGTAAAACCCTCCTCTCCATGAAAACTTTTCAGTACTGGGCGAGCAAGAGACAAAAGGCAAGGTAAGGCTCATCGAACGTCGTGAGACACCGGAGATGAATGGATGAGGGTGCAAAAACTCGAGCAAGACGTCAGATACAAACAGATTTGCCAATGGTTTTCAAAGACTAGTAGTATTCCTGAAAAGTGCGGCTGGAACTGGACTGGATTTGTTAATAATTACTAGGTCATCCCTTCTAAAGTGCCCAAGATTTTATTCATATAAAACGAAGAGGAAAATAGATAAAAAAGTAATATTTTGGCTTTGAGTTAAGTAGATCCCTCCTTCACCAATGACCCGCTCCCAGTGCCCCGAAAGCCTTTGGACCTCTGGTACCTTCGATTTTTCAACAAGTGCGAGTAAATTGCTGTTGATGCCAATTTCGGCGAATGACAAAACATTGTAGCGTTTGCCGTCGGAGAGTACCTCGACTGACCAGAACAGTTGGAATCGAACGGCTTTATGTTGGGGACGATTGAACCCAGGTCTTGTTGTATTGTTATGTCAGTATTGTTTGTGTCCCAGCTACCCCACACTACTGTTACTCGGGGTCTGGCACTATGAAGAGCAACGGTGGCCTTTTTGTAGTTGTGTGGTATCATCCGTTCAGCGCACATCGTTGTTGGGGGGTCCCCAATAAGGGGGTCGTATTTGGCCGCCAGGAGAGGGGGGTCGTATTTGGGCTGGGAAAAATTTATTTTGATAGTTGATTTTTCTCGCTTCATGGACGTTGTAAAAAGGGGGGGTCGTACTTGGTCATTGTTGGGAGGGGGGGGGTCGTATTTCCTTTTTGGCGTTGTAGGGGGAAGTGGTTTTCCTGTTTCATGCCTACTATATGCCTCCCCCCACCCGCTCGACGACTCGATTCGGTGAGGAAGGACAGAGGGCTGGGGGGGGGTCGTACCAACTCCCAAAAAGAGGGGGGGGTCGTACAGACTCGACTAAAATCCCCAACCAATTATGTGCCCTGCACCCGTTTGTCGGTCTGAGCCGAGGAACAGGCAATATACATGGACAGCAGCGATTTTATTCTCTGTATAGAGCCGCTTGAAAGCCACAGTGTGGGAATCCTTCGCTATGATGATCATCCACTTGCGCCCACGTAACTCCTCATGGTAGAACTCGGGCGGCTTCTCATCTGCATTCATACAAAATTGACGATTGTGAGTTTTGGCTCGAGGTCCAAGACCACCCATATTTCATCTAGGGCCGGGGTGCGTTTTCACAGTCGTGAATGACTCATGCTGAGAACATTACTGCTAGAGGTATAGAATCGGTACTGCGTTCGTGCTTCTATAAGAAAATTAGGTACCCATGCGCACACCTTCTTGACCAACCTTATCGGACATATCGGCAGCAGTTGCAGCAGGAATGTCCGTCTCACGGGAAAGCTCGACAAAGTCCAGGCTCTGTGATCAGATATTCAGCGCTTGACTTCATCCACCCTTTTTTCTTGTGCAGGATGAACATTATGGGACCATCCACGACAACAAATTTTTTCCTTTCTTCCTTCTTCGGGCTCCTGAACCAAACCTTCCACCTTGTATTTCGAGAACACCATTACACACAACTACTGGTCCGGCGCAGGTCAAATTTGAGCAGCGCACTTTCCTCTTATGACGCCTGATTTGAAAATCCGGCGCTGATTTTCACCACTCAGGCTTCTTTTCAATTTCTCGAGAACTTCCCCGTGAGCAAGTTCGCCAATACATAGCTAAAGATACAAGCCTTCAAATGGTATACTAGCCCGCTGCCCTATCCCCTTTGCTTTTCTGCCATTCCTCTATATGTCTCGGCACTTTTGAATGGGATGACCTAATAGCAATTTCCTATTCAAAGACAACTGCACTGTTCAATAGTTTTTTTTCGTGAGTGGTAAGTATGCTTGACCTTTGTTAACTACTTGTCATAACCAGCTCTCACGATGGCACGTTCTCAACGGTCTTGTTTCTAATTTTCTATACTGCTACTAGAACCCATAATTCATAAGATAATTTTGCCGTTCCCTTACACATTAATTAGTGCACCTTGGTGGAGTTGGAAGACCCAGCTTGAACCCGGAGCAGCTTCATTACTATCGCGACTGCAAGTGTTTCGCGGGGCATTGCTCTTCAGTGCCAGACGTTCCACCTCCTTTCTTTTATCGCACGCCATCTCTACGTTTTTTCTCTTCCCTAACTCATTTTTATTAGTTTTATCGGTCATCATGCTTTACACTACTTTGCATTCTGTTCACTTCACCAACCTATGAAAACAAGAATCAGAATGATAATTCCCGATCCTTCCCTCTCTGCTACGACGAATGACCGCCTCGCCTCAGCGCAGAGGTCACCTGTTGTAGGGTTTCAATTTGTGGGATTTACTGTATCGGTAGCTCATGTATAGAGATCGTTCGCGCGCAATCTACGTTGCGTTGTATCATGACTAACCTTGAGATTTTATGTTGCCAAATTAGTTCAGCTCTCCTGCAACCACAACTTATACAGCGGCTAGCCACTAGCGGACTACAATGCGAACAGCCAACTACTGCAGCGAGAGCTACTGCAACTGACCCAGAATAGCGGCAACTGACATCCCTCTCTCGCTTCAAAGAGTCTAGTCTCAGCTCCGCGGCATGATCGCTTCTTTAGGACCGTTCGTTTCAACACTCTTGTATCACAGCCGAATCCGAACTTTCTGTCATCGCGCCTACCTGAGTTCGTATACGATCCGACTACGCCTGTACGTTCGAAGCCAGGAGAGCGGCAATCGACATCCCCCTCTCGCTCCAAGGAGTAGCCTCGGCTCCGCGGCATGATCGCCTCTTCAAGACCGTCCGTTGCGACCGCTCCTGTAACCAGAGCGGGATCCCTCACAAACTCCCTTCCATGCACCGTCTTGAGTTTGTTTACGATCCGAATAGCGGCTACACGTTCGAAATCTAGTACAATCTATATGAAGGTGTCATCACAAAGGACAGTGCCTCTCTAGACGACACAGCAGAGGCTTATGATTGTCTCCAAACTCGACGCCATCACTTATGCTCGGTCCCAAAAAGAACATCTTCCCGAAAAGGGCATGCGACGTTGCCTGGGAAGACACTGTAACAATCCAGAAGGAATCGTTTGGCCACAATCCGTCCGCTTTCGTGAGGCGCTACATTACCTGAGGGCACAACGAAAAGAGTACCCTTGACTATATAGAGAGGGTACAGCACTGTGATGCGTGAAATGGCAGTGTCAATACGACTGTCCCCTATCCCCGGAAAAGGAACCTGGTACGACCCCCCCCCTCACTGAGGCTCTAACTGTTTGCTCTGACGAGAAGGATTAGATAGCACTGCTACCGCTTACCAAAACCTTAGCAATAACACTTTTGTGCTGTTTGGTGCTCACCGACCCTGCGTTTACGACTTCCTCCCCCCCCCTCCCCAGCGGCCAAGTAAGAACTCTCCCCCGATGGGTTTCGCACAAATGCTGTACCCAAAAAAGTGGTCAATCGACGACAAACATTGGTCGAAATCAGAGAATTCACTCCCGAGCAGATGATATGCTTAGTATGGATATTGCCTGGTCCCTCCGTTAATGCCGACATCCGTGCACGTGCTCTTCGCAACATAGAAAACAATCCAAGAATGAAGCTAAAGGATCTTGCTGCTGAGATACATTAGTTCCTCGACATTCGCCAAGATGCCGCCCATAATCAGAAAGGTAAAGATTGCGAGCTACGCCGACCTTGCTTTTGCTGTGGAGCGAATCACTGATTGAGGATTGCTTTTCTTGAACAAGGCGTGTAAGGAAAGCATAGCAACTAGCCACAAGCGAGGATTCTGCAAGAACTTCATGATGAAGAGGAAGCAGAAGGCGTGACAGAAGGGAAGATCCGTCGAAAACGTTATGATCGCTTCAACCCAGACCGACGTCGCCTCCGTGTCACCATACAACGCCCATTGCAAATCGAACGGAAGACGATAAACATTCTTCTTGACAAAGGAGCAGACGTAGCCTTGCTGAGCACAGCGGACTGGACTGCTATTGGTTGTTCGGAACTACAACTTATTTGACTGATGCTGAAGTCTGCCAACGACAATCGATCAACACTCGAGGACGTCACGACAGCAATTTCGTCATCAATGGT